AGAAGGCTTTGCTTCTCTACTAAAATAACGAATAATAATGTACATAAAATCTATAATTATCTCTTGATTTTCTCAATAAATAATCAGTTGCCTGGCTCTTGTATTCTGTCGTTACAAAGATACTTCCCTGTCATGAACTTAATTCAACTAAAATATGCTCAACATTTCAAAAAGAATACTAGAAACGATGTTCTTTTTCAGATCAAGATTATTGAATGTTTTTACTGTTCATCGCTTTCATTTGGTATTGAAACTCAAATATTTTTATATTTTAGAATACTCTATTGTTTGATCTTTTTTATTTGGGATTTCATGGATTGCTGCACATCTAACCAGTGAACATCTAATTTATTAAGTGTTTTATTTTATAAAGTGAACAGCTAAACGAAATTATACCTTATTCAGTAAGATCTGTTCACATAATCTTTAGAAAAATTTCTGAAAGTATTCTTAAAAGAAATTCTGTATATAATAATTAGTATGTTGTGGAAAGACTAGTGATTGGTGGCAGTGTTTACAAACACAAAGATATCTACAAGGCTACATGGGTGTCACCAGACAGGCAAACTAAAATCCAAATCGACTTCGTCTCAATCTCAAGGAAGTGGAGGCGCAGCCTACCGGACACAAAAGTAAGAAGAGGAGCAGACGTTGGCTCAGACCACTATCTCGTACAAGGGACAATCCAAATCAAATTAAAAGCTTTCAGGGAAACAGGAGCTGCAGATAGACCACAAGCCAAGTTCAACACTCAAAAACTGAAGGACCAGGCTACAAAGGACATCTTCATTGCAAACATAAAGGACAAAGCCGAGACACAAATAAACACTAGCGAAGACGTCGGCGTCGAAAAGCACTGGGACAACTTGAAAACGGTGTGGAGTCAAACTTGCATGGAAGTTCTAGGCAGAAAAAAGAGGCAGGAAAAACAGTGGCTCACTGCGGACACTTGGAAACTAATAGAAGAGAGAAGGACAATGAAACAAAAGATTATCCAGTGCACCGACAAGCAACAAAAACAGGAGTTGAATGCAGGCTACAATACACTGAACCAAAGAGTGAAAAAGAGTGCCAGGGAAAACAAAAGAAAATATTATGAAGCCATGTCAAGTGAAGCAGAACAAGCTGCAGGCAAAGAAGACGTCGAAATACTCTACCAGACAACTAGGCACATATCGGGCAAAAGTTCGACACAGATTAATCCAGTAAAGGATGACAATGGAAAGCCTATCACCAAAGAGGAATAGCAAAGAAAACACTGAGCCGAACACTTCAAAAGACTTCTAAAGCGGCCGCCACCTACAACGCGCCCAACAATACCAACAACGGAAGCATAACTACCAGTGAACATCGACCCCCTGACGAAATCAGAAGTCCTGAATGCAATCAAGATGCTAAAAGCTAGAAAGCAGCAGGACCAGTTGGAATCCCAGAAGAAGCATTGAAAATGGACCCAGAGACAACAACGGCCTTGATGACACCCCTACTGGAGAAGGTGTGGAAAGAGGGTAAAGTACCCGAGGATTGGAAGAACGGATACTTATTCAAACTACCAAAGAAAGGAGACTTAAGTCAATGCAAAAACTGGCGCCGAATTATGCTCCTGTCCATCCCAAGCAAAATACTAGGCCGCATCATCCTGGAGAGAATCAAACAAGTCAACCTGGATGAAAAACTTCGACCGGAACAATCTGGATTCAGAAGAAACAAGTCATGTATTGATCAAATCGCCACACTACGGATCATCATTGTACAGAGCTTGGAATGGCAGCCACCTCTCTATCTGAACTTCGTCGACTTTGAAAAGGCTTTCGACAGCGCAGCGTCGATCGAGAGGTGATTCGGCAACTACTTTGCTACTTCGGGGTGCCACCGACTATTATACATTTTGATTGTATGGAGGATTTAATCATGAGCTGATATCAGTTAGAGAACCATTGGGAAACCTGGGAGTACTGGACAGCTGTTTCGTCCCGTTTGGGACTCCTCAGCAGTACGCACCCACCGGGGTTCGAACCCAGGACCTTCTGGTTACAAGGCGAGCTCGTATACCATTGAGCCACTGGGACCCGATCCAATGGTCCTTGAATTCTAACTTCTGCCAATTCACGACATAGCGCGACCACTTCGCAATGTCTTCTTCGATGAGTTACTGCCTCATCTTCGACCTGCTGTACCCTACTGGTCACGGCTTCCCACTAGAATCCCAGGTTAACTGCCTGAATAGGGCCAGTCGCTAGTGTGCATCATTTTTTCATGCAACACTTGTACGACAATACTGCATGCCAAGTAATCCACAACGGGAAACTTTCGGAAGCCTTCGAAGTGAAGATGGGAGTAAGACAAGGCAGCCTACTATCGCCAATGATCTTCTTGATTGCAGTATATTGGATAATGCGACAGACAACGGGCGATGATGAAACAGGCATAAAATGGACTCACACAAAAAACTTGGGGATCTGGAGTTCACCGATGATGTATGTCTGATTTCCCAAGAACTGGAAGATATGCAAGTGAAAAGCAACAAGTTGGCAGAAAAAGCATCAAAGATAAGACTACAGGCGAACATAGGTAAAACAGAGGTGATGAAGATTCCTGGCCAACACCAACAGCACAACAACAACAGACAACAATCAGCCAGCATAAATGGGAGGAACCTGAAAGAAAAACCTCCTTCACCTACCTGGGAAGCATCGTTTCAACTACAGGCGGAAGTGACGAAGATATCAAAGTCAGAATCGGAAAAGCAAGACAAGCTTTCAATACTCTCAAGTCTGTGTGGAGGTCAACAACACTCACCATCAAAAATAAGATCCCGATTTTCAACTCCAATGTGAAGTCAGTGCTACTATACGGATCAGACACCTGGCGAGTCATAAAGAGCATCTCAAACAAACTACAGACCTTCATTAACAGTTGTCTTTGCTCAATACTCAAGATCAGATGGCCGGCCAGAAAAGATCAGCAACAGACATCTCTGGCAATGAGCGAACCAACCCAGCGGGAACCGATTGTGAAACAAACAGGCAGGAAGAAATGGAGATTGATTGGCTGGCCAAACTCTGAGGAAACCATCAAGTGACATCACTAGACAAGCCGTTTCTCGAGTGTAACCCGAAAGGGAAGCGGCGAGTTGGTCGTCCCAGGGTGACTTGGAGGAGGTCATGTGAAGAGGAGATGAAAGCACGTGGGCAGACCTGGAGCGGAGTAAAAAAGTTGGCAGAGAACCGAACGCAATGGCGACGGGTGGCTGAAACCCTATGTTCCTCTAGGAATTAAAGGATATAATAATAATAATATCGTTGAAAAAGGTAATCATTGAAGCAGTTAGTTTAGAGTAGACATTGTTTACTTATTGGCATAGTGGATAACTCTCTGGTGTTTGAAGTGATAGGTATTAGGCTCCGGTATCGTTGGCGAGTACGCATGTACGGCTGACGAGCCTCAAATAAGACGGAACACAGGTCGTGGATTCTACTGCTATTCACCACCCTAGGGAGTAACAAATAATATACTAATAAAACTGAAAACTAGTCGAATATCTTTGGAAAAGTATACACTGGGTTACCTAAATGTTATTATTATTTGTTTCTGCGTTTTGTACACTGATAATAACATATCTAATATGAATGGTAAACGAGTTTATAAGAATCGATGTTATCCAACAGGGGATCAATAACGCCTACTGGTGAGGTGTATTAGATTAGAATGGAGGAGATATAATGATCTTACCTTTTTACTTCAAGATAGCTCTTTTCTCATAAGTAATCGCTACCACCTCGGGAAAAGCTGAACATGGACAACCGTTTCGTCCTAATATAAGACTCCTCAGAAACGTCAGCGTGTAATAGACTAGTTTTTATTATGGAATTGTGCATACCATAGCATTTTCAAAATTTCTTTTAAGTGATGAAATGTAAACTGTATTTACTTTATTAGATGAAGAATTAGGCAAGTAGTTTAGTCATTTTATTTTATTAGTTAATTTACAAGTTTAGGATGTAATCAACATGCATAACCAATTACTATCACTGGGATATGTGTATTGTGTAGGTGGGGTCACTGATCTTTTAAAGTTACGATGTGAGTTGATGTGGCATTAGTTCGGAGGGAAGTAATCAGTCACCAAGTGTAGATATTCCCATCATTTCCTGATTTCTATTTATTAGTCTGAGTCATGTAAAATAAAAGTATGCGTTTCATTGATAATAACTCTTAGTAGTTAAAATCATGTACTGGTAATATGCTCAAAATTGTATAACACTAACGTAAATATGCTCAGTATTTACAGGTGGAATTTTCAATATTCTATACTTAATTGTTTTACCAACACACGTCAATGGTCTGGGGTTCAGTTGCCTACCGAGGCCACTCCTAAGCATCACTTAGTTTACTAACCAGTAGTATTGTTACGACAGAAGACAAAGGCCGGGCAACAGATCGTTTATTGAGAAAATCAAGAGATATTTATAGATTTTATGTACATTATTATTCGTTATTTTAGCAGAGAAGCAGCTTCTCCTGATTGGTCTCTTTGCTGAAGGTGATTCTGTACTGCTTGTAACTGTTGCTTACAAAGTTATCCATATATCTACTATTCGTATTTGCACATGCTAAGTCTTCTGTGACGGGTTATTGAGTTTCTCAAGGTTAGGCTCTGTTCTTGTTTTTTCTCATGACCTCTATTCGGGACGTAAACACAGAAATAAATTGTTGTTTACAGTTTTGTCTTGCAGACAGCTCTCACCACAGTATGTTCGGAAAAGAGGGAGGGTTGCACGTGAGGCTAGCAATCTCCCTCCGTAAAATACAACACGGCTACTAAAACTCCAAGGTTTGAAGGTGCATGTTCGGCAATCAACTCAAGGAAAAAAAGCAACATTTTATTATCAGCTCAATTTTTACGCCTGTTTACTACTTTATTTAAACAATTGTGACTTTAGCATGATTACTTATTTTACTTTGCTGTTTTTTTTATCTTCATCTCCTTCTTTTAACAGCTTTTCCTCAGAGCTCATTTTTCCTATGATCCAAAAAATGATAATTTAATTCCATGTAAAGAAGCTGGTTTAGCATTTTCAGCTGGTTCTATTCTTCAAGTACTCAAACAAGAAGATCCTTATTGGTGGCAGGTAATTATAAATTTATTTAGTTTTGTTTACAGGATGCCATTATGAGCTGACGTCGGCTAGAGAACCATTGAAAAATCCGAGAATACTGGAAAGCCGTTTCGTTCTAGTTTGAGACTCTTCGGCAGTGCTCAACCACTGGGGTTTGAACCCTGAACCTTCTGGTTAAAAAGAGAGCTCATAGACCATTAAACCACCGGTTGCGCTCTATCATAAATTGTTAGAAGTTGAAATTCACTGGCCATTGCATCTGGTCTCAGTAGCCGAATGGTCTACGGGCTCGCCTTGTAACCGGAAGTTCCTGGGTTTTAACTCTCGTGTGTGCGTACCGATGAAGAGACCCAAATAGGGACGAAACGGTTGTATACTAATCCCAGGTTTCTCAGTGGTCTTGTAACCTATGTAAGCTCGTGATGAAATCACGTAATCAGTCAAATCATTGAAAACCAACACTTCAATTATTTGTTTTTCTTTGTCTTTTAGTTCATTTCTTAGCACAGCATTTGTAAGAGCTCGTCAGCTGATGACCTTCCCCCCTATTTTATGATGTAGATAGGAGCTTGAACCTTATACATATTGTCATTCAGTGTTCAAAGGATGGTAACCTTCATAACCACACTAGCATTGAGACCACGCCAAATACAAATTAAAAAAATTTTAATCTCATCACATCCGGTTAGTTACAAACAAACATTAGTAGGATCTTTTAGAAAAAAACAACAACCCATATTCATGTAGTCCGCCTTCAAGTTTAATAAGTTCACGAATAAGTTTAATCGAAAATTAAGAGGTGTACTTAACAGTACGGTCACCATAGCGGAGTTAATATTCATTTACGAAGAACATTGTTTAATAATATAAAACCCATATATACATTACACCTCTTCCTTCAGTGCATTTATCGGTTTAGGCATCCATTCAAACACAAATGCACTGGAAGAAAAAAAGGCATAGTTCTATTCGTTTTATTGAATACCTTTCAAAATAACTTACGGTTTAATATAATCGAAGCTCCATTTCATTCCACATATTAGGGAGGTAGCACGTTTTTAACACTGATTAAATAAATAGCAGACAACAGACTAGATTATCAATGCCTGTTCCGGTTTATATGAGTCATTTTGAACCTCTTGTTAAGTGAGGCATATAATAATAGCTCCTAATGTATTTTATTCATCATATTCGAGTGAATCTACTTCGTACTAAATCTACTGTATTTCCCGTTGACTAATTTCACATAACTAATTCAAGTATTTTTGACTGCACACTAGTCAGTAACTAGTGTAATGTGTCTAGTCCTATCTTCGTTGCAGACTGAATTCTATCAGTCAAGCTTGAAATGTGGCCATCATGCTAGGTGGCTCGCCATTAGCACGAGATCTATGTCGAAGGCTTCCTACCGATTGCCTCCAACCATCTAATACCAACAATTCACAGTGCACCGTAATGGTAAGCCACCTAGAATGGTGGCCACATTGCAAGCTTGACTGATAGAATTCAGTCTGCACCGAAGATAGGACTAGACACATCGCACTAGTTACTGACTAGTGTGCAATAAAAAAAATATCCAATACAGTCCTACAGGAGGTCAATCGTGAACCTGAATAGCTCAGTGTTCACGTCTCTGACTGCAGGACTGGGTGACGCGGGTTCGAATCTCAGAAGGGACATGAGTTCCTTCAAGGTTGCAGAAACGCCTTTCTGATGAGTGCCAACTAGCACGAAACCTAGGTCCAAGGCTTCCTTCCGATTACCTCCAGCTATCTAGTACCAATAATTCAAGTATGTCAATAATTCTTTTATATTTTTTATCTGGAAGTGACTCCACTTAGAAAGCCACTGAAAACCAGGGAGAAATGGATAGGTGTTTCGTCCTGAATTGTGCCTTTTCAGCAAAACGTTGACCATTCAACCACTTAGGCTGGAAATCAGTGACCCGTAATCCTATTTTCTATGAATTCCCTGATATAGTGCTTCCGCCAATGGGTATTATTGTTGAGTATCCACTTCACCTTGACATTGGTGGACCCTATTACTCATAACTTCTCATCACAACTTCATGATACCTACCCAATAGGATGGAGATTGATACTGAAATTATGCACATTTTTAAATGAATTAATATTTTTAATCTATTTTGCAAAAGTTCAGTACACTTTATTAAAAGGGCTATTGTTCAGTTTGATTAAAACAAGACTATTTTCGTTACATGCATTTTTTGTGCACACAAAGGGGTGGTAGGGATTAAGTTGACAAATAGCTATCATCTCTGAGTATTTCAATAAACGCCCTTGACTGTTTTTATTCATAACTTAAAACGGATATCCTTTAGCATTTGTAAATCCATGTAGAAGTCAGTTAGTTACAAAAACCTACAGTCTATCCCGTTCCTAAGAAAGATATCTTCATCGAATTACCATACACTGGGGAAATAAATAGTAGGATTTTAGGGTAGGGACTAAACTCGGTGATCCGTAGGATCTACTATGTAGCTCGGCCTATAATTAGTGAAAAAGCCAAAAACATGCTCTGCTATGAGCCTCTACATTACACAACTGATTATGTCACATCCCCTGCTATATACCAGTTTAAATGCTTGTGTATGTGTAGTCACACATACATAGGGAGGGGTATTCGCTCTTCGCACGTGAGGGTGGGTGAACATACACCTGAATGGTTAGAAAAACAAACGACAGACACAGGTTACAGACTACCAGCTTTGTCTATAGCTAAACACTTAATCGATATGAATCACAAGATTGGTATCAAAACAACTTTTAAGGTTATTTATAAAAAACGGTCAAGGGCGCTTATTGAAATACACAGAGGATAAAAGCTAATCGTAAGCAGTTTTTCAGAAGACAAAAAAAAATCCCAAATTGTTTATCATATAAACTGTATTGATGAAAAAAGAAATTTGTTTATGTATTATTTACGTATATTTGTTTTATCAATTAAATTTTAGGCAAGACATCATAATCAAGATGGTCGTGCTGGTCTCATTCCATCAATTGTTTTACAAGAAAGACGTAAAGCCTTTATTCAAAGTGCTCCAAATCCAGAAGACTTAACGTATAAAATGTTTGCCTGTGGACTTGCTAGACGTAGAAAGAAAAAGGTACATTTGTGTTTATATATATATATTCAAATAATGGCAGTTGTATGTGCGTCTGAGTGTTTATGTTAGAGTCTCTATAGTAAGTCAATATGATTCAAGTGAAATATTATTGGTCAACATGATTAACGAATTACAAATCGATTAAATAAATATAAGATATCTGAAGGTGAAACCAGCGTACATTGAGAATAAGAGTAAATAATTATTAATTTGAACAAGAAGGTCATTTGACAGAAAATGTAAATATAAGTTTGTTGTGATGATATCATTCTAATTGTTTGTAATTAAACTAGAGAGACAAAGAGAAATTAAAGTCATCTAGGACATGTTGATTAAATGAGGCAGTCAAAAACAATGAAAGTGATTTCAGGACTTTCATCATGAGCTGACATTAGTTAGAGAACCATTGGAAAACCTGGGAGTACTGGACCGCTGTTTCGTCCTAGATTGAAGCTCTTCATCAGTACGCACCCACCGGGATTCGAACCCAAGACCTTCTGGTTACAAGGCGACCTCGTAGACCATCAAGCCACTGGGACCCGTTCCAGTGGCCCACGAATACTAACTTCTGCCAATTCATGACATAGCGCGACCCCAGCCAATGTCTTCGGCGAATATTTGTCCTCACACCCGACCTGCTGCACCCTACCGGTCACGACTTCTCACTAGAAACCCAGGTATCAACCTACCTGAATAGTGGCAGTCGCTAGTGACACTGAACTGCATAACCCCGTTGACAATTTGTTATGTACTTGTTACTATGATCTCTCTGACAACTGATACGAACGAGTGGAGTGATGAATGGATATGGTAATACTAACACAATGAACAACTCAACTGATTTGCTCTTTGGTAGGCGAAAAATTAATATTCTGATTAGTTGGCGATCTGGCCCAAGACCAAGGTAAGAAAAAGATGATGAAGTTTTACAGTCATCTGATCACACGATGAATTATAAGGTGATTACTATTTTAAGCTGATTTCTATCACCTCCAAAGGCCTTCGACAGCGTTGACCGCGAATTTGGAAACTACTCCAGTACTATGGCGTACCCCAAATATTCATCAGCCTTATTCAGCAGCTGTACGACAACGGCACGTGTCAAGTGATCCACAATGGAAAACTCAGCGAGGCGTTTCGAGTAAACACAGGAGTCAGACAAGGGTGCCTATTATCACCAATGATATTCCTAATTGTGGTGGACTGGATTATGCGTTAGACAGTGGGAAACGAGAAGACAGGGATATCCTGAAACGACGTGAAGAATCTAGAAGACCTGGATTTCGCGCATGGATGACTTGTGCTTGATGTCACACAAAATCGATGACTTACGAGCGAAAACCGACAAACTGGTCGAAGAAGCAGCCAGTGAAGACAGGACCCCAGGTTAACATAGACAAGACGGAGGTTATGAAAATAACCAACCAACCAACAACATCAACATCCAGCGTCAATCACTATCAACGGGAGGGATTTGAAAGAGGTTAGTTACTTCATTCACTCACTTATCTAGGGAGCATTGTCTCAACTACAGGCAGTCAGAACGGACGAGGATGTCAAATCGAGTGAGAATCGGGAAGGTGAGAGACACATTCATCAACCTGAAACCAATCTGGAAATCTTCGTCACTCAGCCAGAATCAACAACAAAATTCGGTCAAATTTTCAATACAAACGTCAAGTCGGTCAGTTCTTCTATACGGATCAGAAACTTGGCGGGCTGGTCACAAAGAATATTTCCAACAGCCTGTTGCAGACCTTCATCAACCAACAACTGTCTTCGCTGTATACTGAAGATCAGATGGCTGGGCCGGAAAGAATCACCAACAAGAAACTATGGGAACACACAAACGAAACAAGAACCAATCGCCAACCAACAAATATGCAGGAGAAAGTGGAGATGGATCGGACACTTGCTGAGGAGGCCGCCGCTGAGTGACATCGCGCGCGCGTCAGGCCACTGCTCGAGTGGAACCAGGCCGAAAGGGAAGCACGCGGCGAGTGGGTCGTCAGTGCAAGGGTGAGATGGAGGAGATCGTGTGAAGTGAAGAGGAGTTGAAATAGTATGAACTAACGTGGATGCAAGTGAAAAGAACAGCAGAAGACAGAAGTGGCAAGTGGAGACGTGCAGTTGAAGCCTTATGTTTCACTAAGAACCCAAAGGAACAATAATTTAATAATAATAATAATCTATCACCTCCCTCGTAAAAAGTGTAGAACTTTCTTTTTGGATCTATTTGGGAAAGTTTTGACTTTTCAACCAAAAATAGTTCCTGTTGGAGATAACTTATTTGAAGTAAAAAAAACAGAATACCGTATGAAAAGGCAGCAAAAGTCTATCTAAAGTTTCTCTCACTTTCCCCTCCCCGTTCGCTCTCATGAAAGCACGCTTGGAGGCATTTACGAGGCGTTCACCTTGTGCATAGGATTGAGTTTGTGATACAGACATGGACGTTTAGGACAGGAAACGAGCTTCAGAGGCAAAAAGACTCGGCTAGACTTGCGGCAACCAAAATTTTCCCAAAAGACTGTGGCATGCTTTTGACACGATTGTTGCAACAGAGATTTACGTGATGCATTGTTTTATTTAGATGAAATCATTTCATAAGAGCGACATGTTGAGAAATACCAAATTTAATGGAAATTCTGAGAGACTGAGCTTATCTAACCAGTCAGGACCCAGTAAATTCAAATCATGGATTTCTATCGACTACCCAGTGTTGACATTGTATGGTTTGAGGCGATCAGCAGGAAGCCTTGGACCTAGGTTTTGTGCTAGTTGGTACTCATCATCAGGCAAGGCGTGTCTGCAACCTTGAAGGAACTCATGTCCCTTCTGAGATTCGAATCTGTGTCACCCAGTCCTGCAGCCAGAGACGTTACCACTGAGCTAATGGGGCTCACAGTTGACCTCCTATAGGACACTAATCAGTGACTAGTGTGGTGCGGTACAGACTGAGTTCTATCAGTTAAGTTTGCAGTGTGGCCGCCATTCTAGGTGTCTCACTATCACAGTTCACTTTGAATTGTTCAAATTAAATCGAATAGCTCAGTGGTAACCTCTTTTACTGCAGCATTGGGTGACACGGATTCGAATCTCAGAAGGTACATGAGTTCCTTCAAGGTTGCAGAGACGTCTTGTTTGCTGGTCAGTGTCAAAAAGCACAAAACCTAGGTCTGAAGCTTCTTGCCGATCGCCTCCAGTCCTCTAGCATAAATTCAGTGTGCACCGTGATGGTGAGCCGCCTAGAATTGTGGCCACATTGCAAATGTGACTGACAAAATTCATTCTGCACCAAACAAAGGACTGGACACACTACACTAATCACTGAATAGTGTTCAGTCAAACTAGTCTGTGTATTCAGATAAGGCTAAATGGAAATGAATTTAATGTTTACCAGTGATTAACTTTGGGATGAAATTGCCTGGAGTTCTAGTAAGAATTTATGGTCCTCCAATTTTGTTGTGAGGAAGAATACTCATCTATGAAATTAGCTGCTTTTGGTACTGTGAGTCATGAATAAACAAAAGTCAGAATTCATGGGTAACTGGACCATATCCAAGTGGATGAATTGTCACCAAGCTTGCCTCACAACCTGAAGGTTCTAGGTGCGACTCCCGGTGGGTTGATGGCCACGTACTACTGAAATTTCCCAAATCAGAAATCCAGTGGCCCATGACTTATAACGCATGTCATCGATGAGTATTTTTCCTCACGTCCAACTTTGTTGACTCTACTAGTCAAGACTTCATTGTATAGTCAGTTGTACGTGTTGCTGAAGAGTTCCAAACTAAGACGAAACATCCATCCAGTATTGCTTGGTTTTCACTGGTTTTCTAACTGATATCAGTTTGCGATTTAACTTACGTGAAACAACCTGTATTTCCAACTTATCTTCGATAAAGCCGTAAGTGAAAATAAAACAAAACTTTCAGTGATGAAAATGCTTTTTTTCAGTGTTCTTATTTTTATAGTTGTACAATTGTATTTATATATGAATTCGAAGAGACAATAATAAGTAATTTTCTAAACGTCTAAGAAAGAAATTGTGCAAACAGTTTTTGTACATAAAGTTCTAGTTTAGTGTTATGTGTAGCCAAAGATTCCGTCATACAGAGTGAATGCACTTGTGTCAATTTCAGTAAATTATATTGGACCTTATACACTACGTTAAAGGGTGCACCAGAAGCTGCCTGGTCATTATCTGCTTCATGTTGCGATATAAATGAAGTAATGGTTCTATGCTCTCCTATGCTTAGTGAAGCTGGGAAGTATTCTCGAAGGCGGCAGGGTATGTTTCTCGACGAGCTTGTTATATACCTAGCTTCACAAGAACAGGTGGGTGTATAAGCTTATTTCCACTTGCTGTTAAATTCTAACACACACACAAATACACACTATTAAACTAATAATTATTATTAGTTGTAGCTCATATATATAAATATGGTGTTGTGCAGCTATGAAAATGAAATCTTTCTATAGGGAAATTTCTTTGTTGAAATGATTGTTTTACGTTTCAATGGGGCTTACTAACTTAGGTAAAAATAAACTTTTCAAGTATCGGCTTACACGGATCTGACTGATTTCAGGACTGATCACGAACTGACTTCAGTTAGAGAACCACTGAAAACCTGGGAGTACTGGATAGCTGTTTTAGCAGTATGCGCCCATGATCCCATAAGGGATCGAACTTAGGACCTTCAAGGCGAGTTTGTAGACGATTCCACTCGATCCTAATGGCTGGATGGTCTACCAGCTTGCCTTGTGACTTAAAGGTCCTGAGCTCGGTCCCCGGTGGAATCACGCTTGCGTATTGTCGAAGAGTCCTAAAAAAGTAGGAAACATCTACCCAGTATTCCCTGGTGACTCCATGATTACCCGTAAGCTATCATTTTCTCCTCATGGGGTTTACTTTATGTCACTTTTGAAAACACCTAACTCGCTGTTTCCCACTCAGATTCCAACTGAGGCTGTCAAGGGGGGGGGAGTTCACTTAATGA